AGCGTGAGGAGCGCCGAAGGACACGGCGGGAGCTGCAGGAAGAGGACATTTTGTTGGGCGAGCGGCCGCGAGGGCTGCCGGCTGCTCGGGCCATTAAACGCGTCTACAAGATGTCACCCGAAACTTCACTGAAGGAATTCAAAGAGTACGCCAAGGAGTTCATTACTTCCCTCCTTCAGGATGCGAATCTCGTCGTTCTAACGGATGATCTCGTGGATACCCTTCCGGCGCCACCAGAGCCAACATCGAAGAAGAAGCGTGTGGCTTCTCTTCATCAACCACCAAACCATTGTTGGGTTACCGTCTGTGAGGTGCACGCGAACGTTGCGAAGGGTGAGCCAGCACCCCCCGACGGCTTTGACAGGTCTGTTCAAATCAAGAAGTTCGAGAGTATTTTGTATGTCCACACAAAGCCGGAAGCCGCCGGAACAAGAACGATTGATGTTATGAATCAGCGCATGTCTATAAACATATATGAGCTGGACCGTGCCTTTCCATCAACGACGAGCGCCATTGATGTTTGTAACGTGGACACTTCATTTCTGAATGCTTATGAAACGGCAAGAGAGACTTTAAAACAACGTACGGATGCCATTGCACGGGCACCTGCAAACGAAACACTCATCACGGTACTGCGGGAGGCACTTTCACCAATGGGGATCACACCTCCGGGCGCATATGTGAAGGAAATTATTGCCGTCATGGGCAACAACAAAGATGTTATTGATGCGGTCAAGTTACTTAGCACGACTGCGCGGAAAAAATTGTCGGTGTGCGAAAAGCAAGGCGTACTCTTAACGCGTCCCGAAGAGTACGCACTTGTATTGAAGGCCGTGACGGATATCGAGTGCTGCCTTATTGCCATGGAGGATGCACCCCGTGAGCAAGATGAGTAAGTTAGAGAATAAAAATTACCAAAAAAAGGAGGAGACGTGGGTGTCTGCAGTGGGGGGAGTAGGGGAGAGGAAACAAATGCCATACAGAACCACAGGAGAATGGAAAACCAAAAAAAAAAAAAAGAGGGGGAGGGAGGAAGGAGAGGGACGAGGAAATCATTGTCATATGAGAGAGTGAATGGGAGTGGGTGGGTGCCGGACTGGGTGTATGCACACACACACACATCCATATATATTATATAAGAGTATTTGCCCATTTTCCGGGGCGAGGTTAGTACGCAGAAGAATAAGTATCTGCAGATGTATTTAGGCAAAAAAAAAGCCTGGTTTGATTGTTTTTTTTTTTTTTTTCGAGGACGGAACAAATCTACGAGCGCGAATCTCTTTTTACTTTTCACTTTTTTTTTTCCACATTGTTTTTGTGCCCGTCTCTCTCTCTCTCTCTCTCTGTGTGTGTGTGTGTACACGTAGCCAGGTTTACTCTCAGGCCGTTGAATTTGTTGTTTTTTGTCTGCATTTGAAGAAGACTCCTCCCCTTTGGGTTTGTTTAATTGAGTTGGTGGATACTGCGCCCTGTTTTGATTCGTTTATCTCTTTTTTTTTCTTTTTTTTTTTTTTTTTTTTTACTTGGCGTTTCGGTGCACAGCACGGGGTAGCTGAACCCCAGAAGCAAGAATCAGAAGGAATGTTGCTTCGGAGTTAGGTCGATTTATTATTATTTTTTTTTTTGCACAACCCCCCCCCCCCCTTTTTTTTTTTGTTCTGTACTTTTTGAGTGTTGCCTTCAGCCGCAGTGATCATCCCCTGTTTCTGTCCACGTATACTTGTGGGCTGCGGGCATTTGGTGTGCTTTCTTGGCTAGAAAGTTTTTTATTTTTTATTTTTTCTTACTGGGCTCTTCACACGGGATTGTGACGGCAGAAGAGGAGTAAGGAAACAGCAAAGGAAGAGGATAGTGAAAAGGGGGTTGGTGGAGCGAAGGGGCGGGGATGTCGGCTCCATGCAATTTCAGCGACCAGATCACTGGCGAGGTGGTTGTGCCGTCATCGTGGCGTAAAGAGGCCATATGTATTGATGCAACATGCCAGACTGGACCGCTCAGCCTGCGTGAAGAGGCGGTGCAAACGACCATAAGTGCGCTGCAAGTAGTCAACAGGCTTGACAAGCAGGTAGGCCATGAGAAGAAAACGATTCAAGCTACTTTGGATGGTCTTCAGTACGTGTACGCGGGGGTGGAGTTTGACGAGGAAAAACTTGCCATGTTCTTGGAGGAATCTAAAGTTGATGTGCTGTCAATGTTGTACCGCAACGCAAAGAGTGGAGCATTCAGCAACTATGAGCCCAACTGGTCAGCAAAGGGCACTGAAGTTGTGCCTGTGGCCACACTTTCCTCGGCATATGCCGTGGAGGG